GGGGTTCAGGGGTTTAGGGGTGAGGACTGGCGTTCAAGATTTGGGTTGTCTGGTCACTGACATGTCGGAGAATGGTTGTTGCATCTGTTTTTGGCCCGCATTCTCAGGGGGACCCACGTTGCAATCCAATTTAGTTTGCGGGCTAAGTGTTAAAACTCGCGTCTCAAACTATCAGCCGCAAATGTGCTGCTGCTACTCCTGCTGCTACTGCTACTGCTACTGCCCCTGCTACTGCTACTGCTACTGCTACTGCTACTGCTACTGCTACTGCTACTGCCACCACCACTACTGCCACCACCGCCACTTCCGCCGCTGCCACCGCCACCACCCGCCGCCGCCGCCCCCACCACCACCCCCACCACCACCCCCACCACCACCCCCGCCGCCGCCACCACCGCCGCCGCCGCCCCCACCACCACCACCACCACCACCACCACCACCACCACCACCACCACCACCACCACCACCACCACCAGTACCACTGCTGCTACCACTGCTGCTACTACTGCTGCAGCTAGTACTCCAACTCCTACTACTACCACTACTATGACTACTAGTACTACTGCTACTACTACTACTACTACTCCTACTATTGAACTACTACTGCTGCCATTATTACTACTGCTTTAGTATTACCTCTTGTGCAAACGCCGCTACCACTATCGCCTCAGCATCAGTAGCAGTATTGCCCATCTTAGCGAAGCTGCGCAGGCTCGAGAAGACAGGCCGATCGCGATGCTGGCACAGAGATATGTAGGAAACCCCGTAAGAATGAAGACATGCGAATTGCATAGTTTTCGGGAAGTGCTTCTATATGGTCTAGGCTTTGAAAGCTTCTGGCTGATAGTCCTTCAGGATTTGGAAGGTTCGGATATGGCTCTCGATGACAAGGCTCACATAGCGGAAACTGCGTGTTCCATGACAGGAGTTTCGCTCTTGTGGCTGAATTCTGTACGAACACTCTCCCTGGTTTGCCACTGGCGTCGTTGCTGGATTTTCAACGCTGATGGGATCTGAAAGCGACTGTTCTGCAAACTGAAACACATCAGATCCAAGCAGTTTGCATTGGCCAGTTGAACCACGTGTCAGCATTCCTCAATGACCTAAGGGTACTGTGCGTTGGCGCTGCCTGTGCTGCTGTGATTGTGGTTGGTGTTGGTGGCGGCGGTGATTTTGCTACTGGAGCAGCGGCCACAATCCGCTAAAGCTTGGGTCTGTACCCTTCCCCAAATAAAGAATCCCAGTCAGGCTTGTTTGAGGGCCCCTAAACCCTATAGAACCCTCTTTTCGGGCTCCAAGCCAGGCCGCCAGCTCCCTCAGGCAGCCGGAAATTCGGCACCAGTGACGCCTTGGCTGAGGCAGCATCTGAAAGCACCAGGACTAAATCCGCAGCCCACCCCCGTAAAAGAGGCTTCTAGAACTTGTATCAGGCTTCGGAATTAAGGTTGTTTTAGGCTGAGGGTTTCTCAAAGTTGAAGGTCCCTTCTGGCCGGTCTTTTGAAAAAGAGCCGAGTATTTGGGGTATATACAGAGACTATTGCCTGTAGTCAGAACAACGGTCATAGCAGCAGCAATGAGAAAGCTGACACCAAGGGCACAGGCAGTGCAGAATGCACTCTTGCAGAACATTAGCGTAGCAGCTGCGCTACTGACTACTGTAACTCTGCAGGTAGGAAAAAGGCAGAGCCATCGTAGCGCTGGTCGTATAGTCCACATTAGTAGCAGGGGCAAGTACAACAGCACTAGTCGCTGGCATGGTCGTCGTGGTCGTGAACCTTATCTGCAGGGGCGGCGGCAGTGGTGTTTGTCCTGCGCGTGGACCTGCGCATGGACATGGTTGTTGTAGTTGTCGACGAGCAGTGTGTCTCGTCATCGTACTCCATGTCCTTAACATTGCGGCCTTTCAAGGCTTTATTCTTCCAAAACACCTTTAATCGAGATGTCCAAGTTCTAAAGTCCTCGAGAAACTAAGCATACTAAAGCCCTAAACCGACAACTCCAAGACCCTAAGCTTCCTCTATCTCCTGTTAAATCCCACTCTCAAAACCGGGAAATCCCAACATGCAGAGGCCGAGTCGAAACGCGCCCAGCGCCATCGCCCAGAGACGCCGCGCGGCTGCTACGAGTGGAGACTAGTGGAGACTAGCTTCGTAGCTAATTTCGCTATCACATGGGGCTCCCCAAATGAGAGGTCCCACTTCGAGAGTCCCATTATAGCATTTTGGGTTTATGAGGAGATTCCTGTTTTGGAAACTCCCCCGAGGATCCCCGAGGTCTCAAAGCATCTAGGGGCACTACCATACTGAGGCACCTGCCATTTCGGTATCCTTCCTTTAAGCAGCCGAATATTTTGCAGCGGATAGAACGGGTGTCCCTATGCCTGTGTGCGCATGATTTCACGTGTCTGTATACAGACTGGCCTCCTCCACTTTTGAGGCAGCCGGGATAACAAGCCATTTGATGGCCATGTCTGAAGACTTGCTGGAGTGGAATGGCATCGTGCTTGGAGGAGATGACATGAACTAAAGATAGCCTCTAGCTACTATGAACGTTCACATTCCTCGCTCCTTAGTTCATCTCGTCAAATATCCTGATAGCCATCATAGCCAGAGCTTTGAAATCAACAAACTGATAGATAGCACCCTAGAGGAATCATATTAGAATCGCTTCACAGGCCCAGAACATGCTCCTTTTTGGCGACTAGCAACCTCACTTCGCATTTCCCTAATGCAGACACCTGCATGAGGCAAGTTCTTACGGACTTGTCAGCTGACCTGCTGGAGCACGTCAAGGCAGGTTCAGGTCTGATGACAGAAGAGGCATCCAACAATTAGGAAGCCCTTCTCAGGAGCCCTTGTAGTAGGGGTATACAAGGAGAACCCGCGTAGATGTGCAGACAAGAAGGAGTCTACCGGCTGAGGTTGGGGTTCAGCGCTTCTAACCCTACACCAGAATCTGTATGCTGCGCTATTTCTTGTGTCACTCAAGTGATGACCATCGAGGTGACCAGAGAACGAACTGAGTGGAGAAGTTTTGCTCACACTGACGCCAGCTTTTGATCCTTACGTTATCAGGGTTTCCAAGAATGCCTGGGCCTTCAAAAAATGTGCGAGAGTATGCGGGTCGGGGTGTTGATGCCTCTGAGGGCAGCCTTCATGGTAAACAGCTGGAGTGCAAGCAGCCTGTAAGCAGTTGTAAACAGGAGGAGTTCCTTGAGAACGGGGGCGTCTTGGATGGGGAGCAGTTCGTAAAGGCCATGATGAGGCTGGGCACCCGGCTGATGAGAGAGATTCTCTCAGGAATTTGTGGGTGTCCCCTCCTGCTATGTATGGCTTGGCGTAAACAGAAGGAGTAGTGCTTCGTGGAGTAGTGCTTCATTTTCCCCCCTCTGTGACTTCGAGCCCACACTTCAAGGGAGGCTTCTGCGTTCTGCTTGCCAATAATCCTGGTCCTGCTCGAACAGAGTCCGTCCTAACCAGCTCCACGACATTCTTTGCCAATTGCCCAGCCACCCCGACATCCTGTGTCCTTCTCAAGGCTGCTGTAGAGACAGACTACTAAGTAGCTACTCTTGTGAGAAGCGCGTACACCCAGGTAAGGATGCCTGCCAAGTTCCCCAACAGCACCTTTGGCTCAATCCTCTGTAACCAAACAGCGACGGCGAGGAACCTTGACATGGGATACGATCGACTTGGCAAGCAGATGCACGCCAGCCAGGAAGTTGCGGTGTAGGAATGCATGTGGCCTGTTTCCGGAGTGGGCTGTGATGGGCTTAGCAGGCTTAGCACTTTTGCAATTCTTGTGTAATAAGGAGGATCTACTTCCAGTTGAAGTAGGGGGAAACCACCAGGCGTATTCTACAAGCACGCGAAGTAGTTCTCAGCAGGAGCCTGTGCTGAGCGGCGCTACAAAGGCGGCAGCCATTATGGACCGCGGGGGAGGGAAGGCAAGGTGAGGAGACGTTTTTTTGGTTGAGAGTTTGAAAACTGATTTCTACACAATTTCCCAAAAATCCTTTCACTTAGAATGCAATCCGAATCCTGCCCGGAGGAACTCTTCTGTTCATGCGGGTGTGCGTATTGCTGCTCTGCAGGGCCTCATCATAGACCAGATCGCATCTGTAGAAGGTCGGGTTCTTTTCGATCAGTCCACGCAAAAATTGGGACTTCCTTTGGTTTTAGGGTGCTTCTGTATAGAGGATGTCATGTTGACAGCGCCTATTTGCGATCCACGGTCTTCATCATTGTCAAGCAAACAGGCACGTCGAGAGCAACAGCACAATTCCACGAACGAAGGCCCTAGTCGTCCAAGGATTCTTTGCGTAATCGGAGAGTATGGGCGCGATCTGCGAGTGGGCGCACAACAACTGTTGCTACATCTTGCTTTCTTTCGACTGTTTCGTGCTTCTCTTGATCTTCGAGGAACCACATGTAGATCATGTGTTAGAGACAATTCGCTGTTAATGTGCGGCACTCGCAGAGGTGAACAAGCCGTGAAAACTGCTACAGCCCCTGCAAGTGCGACTGTTGCCGTGACCATGCCAATGCAGCTGCTACCGCTAGTGCCACTTCCACTACTGCTGATACTCTTGATTACTTACACTGCACTTCCACTGCCACCACTGCCAGTGCCGCAGCCGCTGCCGCTGCCGGTGCTGCTGCCGGTGCTGCTGCCGCCGCCGCTGCTGCTGCTCTTGCTGGTGCTGGTGCTGGTGCTGGCGCTGGTGCTGCATCTGCTGCAGCCGCCCTGCTGTTGATTGCAATTGCTAAGGTCATCATCCTTACGTATTTACATCTTTGGCCCAGGACCTCTTCCAGCGTGTGGACGTGCACGGTGAGGGGGCTGTGAGCTGGGAAGACGTGTCCAACTACTTCATTGAGCAGGGGATGTCAGGCACCTTGATTCACACCGTGAGATGATGAGCCGGATGTGCTTCCTGACTCCCATACTTCTTAATGTGTTCAACAAGGTTCAGCACCTATTCATCTTGTGCCATGAAGGTGCATCTCGGCTCAGAAGGGAGAGGCCGCTGCCATTTGCAACTTTTTGCGTCTCACTTGTGCCATGAAGCTCTTGGTGGTGGCAGCCCTGCTCTGCGCGGTGGGTGAGGTAATCGCCCAGAACCCACCTGAACGAAAGCCGCCGAAGGAGATGCGGGAGGACGAGTGGAAGACATGGACTTTCCCAACACGATTTTGGGATCACATTTATATGTAACTTCTGTATCATCCCCATGTTTCTATGTGACTTATGTATAAGGGTCCAAAGAAAGGTTCCTGAAGAAGCAGCATGCAGCCGTGTAGCCCTGCGGGAGGAGCGGGAGGATGCCCAGGAGGGCCTAGCGGCCTGCCGATTGGAGGGCAGAACGCCTGAGGACTGCGCAACCCAAAATAAATGGAGCCCCCCTAGGAGGCAATTTACAGGGGGTTATATGATATGTTTGTCCCAAGCCCTGATACTAGTCTTCTGATTGCTTGAAGCTTGAGGACTGCCGAAGAGACTTCGGAGACTCCACGGGCGGAACCCCTCCGGACCCCGTGACTGCGTGACCAAAGCAGCTTTATAGGCTTTTGTTTGCATGATCTCTGCGAATTAAGTTTCTATTCATGAGGGGATTTTTGAGGGTTCGGAATTACGGGCCGATTAATGCACAGGGACCGCCAGCTCGAGTAAGTCAGGCTTCAGGGCGTCAGACGAGATATGGTAGGAATTCAAAAGGTAAGTTACAAACTTGTCATTTCCCACCAGGCTTAGAGCGTGTAGTTGGAGATGAAGCAAGGTGAAGGAGCGGTTGGAGCTCGAGAAGGGCGCCCCCTTGGCACTCTTGGGGACCTTGGAGAACTGCACCAAGGACAGGGTATCCGTTCCCTTGTAAGACCCCCAAACAAAGTCCATACCTCAACCCTAGGTCCCAAATCTGGTGAGGACGTGAACAAGACGGAGCTCAATGTCAGCTTTGCGGACTGCAAGATGCAGATCAAGACCCTATTGGAGCGCCTTAAGAACGAAACCTGCCTTTCGCACCAAGGGTTGAAAGGGCTTGTGATGTCTGACATTACATCACATGGGCTCCTTTCAGTTCTGAACACCCTCCCCTCTCTTGTGTAGATGTGGAGCCCGAGCCTCCGTAATTGAGGGTGTCCAGGTTCTTTCATACTAGCCAGCAGTAGTACAAAAAGCTTTTGCAAGCTCGGACCGCATTGCGCTTCCGACTTTTTGCCCACTTTTTTTGGCAGATCGGATGCTGCAACCATGGGGGGGGGGGGGGGTC